CCACAAGGCAGGATTATTCACCGGGACACCCGTGTATGATTATTGCCCTGGGGCCCCTCAGCATCAGATTGGCCGGGACCCCGCCCCCGCCGCACGCCTTCCTTTTGGGCGGCGCCCCCCCTGTTGTCAGATAGTGCGACCGAAAAGAAATTACCACCACACCAAAGCAGGAACTAAACGTGGCGGCATCCTGGGCGAAACAGCACTTCATGAAACACAACGCGACCAAAGCGAAATATACATTCTTTGGGGCGAAAAATACGAACCCCCTCGATCACCCCCACAGAGGCACGTCTATCACCGTGAAAAGGCCCCCGGCCCTGCTGGGAATCGCATTCCAGAAAAACCGAGGAATGGGCTCCGACACAGCGCACCTACAGACGCATGCAGGCCAACGGCTTAGCCAACCAGCAGGTGTCTCACCCTACGGCTGTGGACAACAGCGGGATGCATCGCGCCCCTTGTGCCCAGCGCTTGCGCAGACCAAAGAAACGCACGGCATAGAAGTGCGGTGCTGGAACGCACCCCCCACCTCGAGATCGGCACTTGATGCTGGGCAATGCAAAGCCTGTAAGCAATTGCAGGCGCCACCCAAATGGCAGCTGCAGAGAAGATGCCTTGCTTAAAGCCATTCCCAAAACCACGAAGCACAATGATACGGGTGCGCAGACTGAAGTGCACATCCCTTGTGTTTTGCAGAGGGGGGCAGTGCGCCATAGCTTCAATGAGGCGCGCGCGATTGATCAGAGACCCCACACCAGGGGCATATCACCATCATGGCGGAACGCCCAGAACCCAATACTGAAGTCAGGACCCCGTCCGTAGCGCCCTTCGCGGTGCAACAGGCATCTCGAGCCCCCCTTCGCACACCCCTCTAAAGCGTCACCGCTCACAACCCGGACGGCGCCAAGCCTCAAACATGCATAAGATGGGCTGGCCGACCCTTCCGGCGGAAAGGGTTCCACACCACCCGGGCACCTCCGCCATGAATTCTGGCCGGATGGGCCTGCCCAAGAAAAGAGTGAAATCTGGCGCAGCAGCCATGAGTTACCCCAACGAGGAGCCCATTACCGAAGCCAGGGCGGGAGCGGGATGCACACCGTTTGGCCACCGGGCTGATTCCATCGCGTTGCACGTTGGCCTGCGGAAGTTGCCGGAAGCAACTCCATACCGCAACACTCGGCTGCCAAGGACCCCCGTCTTCACGGACACTTTTTCACCACCCACGTCGCTCCAAACAGCCTGCCTCACAAACAAACCTAATTTTGTGTCTGCTGTGTTATCGGATATTGAATAGCAAATGCCACAAATCACTTATACGGTTGCAATTTGAATTTCACCCATCTGCCGTTGCAAACAATGAGACGCGCGAAGTGGAAGCCAATATGGCCCCTGACCTTCCACAGGGCGAGGACACGTGGATACCGGATTTGGTTGCGTTGGCTAAACGTTGCCTACGCATCCAGAACCTCATGCCATCCACCTGCCGCTCCGGCATCAGTGGTCACTGGAGTGCTGCGCGCAATGACTTCAACCTGCCTCGGAAAGAGGAGGCGTCAATGGCTTGCTTTTGTACCAGCGACTCTCACCGCTACGGCCGGTTACTGCGATCATTTTGGCCCACCATGCAAAGTACACGAGGTGGATGTAACCTAGGAGAGCCGCATTCCCTTCTCAGAGAGACTAAAGTAAAAAGGCCCGCAAATAACCCAGAGGCAGTGCTACTAAGTTTCCGTAACCAGGCCAACTGCACGGTGTGTCAAATTCACTTCAGTTGTCGGTAAGCGTTGTGATTCGCATGGTCAGAAAACATGGAGTCGCATGTGCTCACGCCATGCAGAAACCCAAACACCCAACTGCTGCAGAATCGCCGGGAATCCCGCTACAGCACCCCCTTCCCCAGAGGCGAGGCCAAAACGCACAACATGAGACACAACAACAGGTCTGAACTCGCTCGCAAGAAAAGCGTTGAAAAGATTCTGCCTGTCATTTGCGCACCGCGTCGTATAGGTGACAAAAGGGGGCTGGGATAGCACCTTTGCGAATTCCACCACCTGCAATTGCCCAATGCAGAACGCAACCGCCCACGAAAGGCCAAAAAGAAGGACAACGGTTCGCCTTTCCAATGCGAACGCCGTGGGCCCAGAGAACCTAACTAAGGCGGGGCTCCTCTCCCATATCCGTGCCAAGCACTTTTTCACACCAGAGCCTGCCGCACAAAGCGGAACGACAACCCAAACCATGCCGCATGATGCGTCAGAAGGCCATCGGCAATGCTAGAGGACTTGTCTCCCACATGAGATTCAAGCACCCTGACGAACTGATCAAGGTGACACAAAAACCAGACCAAGCCACACCAAGACCTGCCGAGCGTGAAGGGGAGAAAGCCCACGCTGCGGACGCTGTTTACATAAGGCGGGGAACACCCGACCAAGCATTGCCACGCATCCCAAAGCGCAAGCGAGAGGGCGCATCCCTCACATAAGAAGCACCGGCAAAGCAGGAAGAAAACAGCCCGCTACCGCCAGAGCGGCTGGGGGAAAAACAATACATGGCGTGCTTGGAATGGTCCGCCCCCGCTTTCCCAGCCTTGCCACGCCGCGGGCGATTCTATGGGGGAAAATGGGTGCCCGAAAATAGGAAACGCCAGGGGATACGGGGCGACACCCCTGAGGAATCGCACCCCACTGCTTTTTATGCCCGACGTGCGGCCACCAGCGCCGCAGCTACCATGCGCCTGGAAGGCGCCGAAAGGGCACAGGCGGATTCGGGCTGGACACCGCCAAACGGAGCTAATGCGCACAGTGGGAGCGGGCGGACCAGCACCTGCTGAGCCACCCCGCCCCAAACAGCCACCGGCGCCGCTTAGACGTGGCCAGGTGTAATGTGGTAAAGCTTTGCTTAACAAAAACGTTCTCCCAATACTTTCTTGCAGTGAAAAGGCTTTGTCTTCAACGATCTTCCCTGAGAGGCGCGGCGCCCCCCATGCAGGAAAAGGGGCAGCCCATTCCCCCATCCAACTCTATTTGTTTATAGTTTTTTTGCCGCGTTTGGTGAAAAGAGACGCCGCTCCTCTGCCGTTATTTGGCCAGGGAAGAGTGGGCAGGGTTTCAAGCCAGCCCTGGCTGCTGGGCGCGCGTGGCCAATAGCGTGGGAGAGGCCAATTTATTGTCGCATTTCTTTAAGTTTAGGTTCCCCTTCCCTAGCTCAAAGAAAAAACAGTTTTTTCTTTTACGCATGCTATGGGTGTAGGTTTGTTTTTGCTCGTCCTTTGGTCGGTGCCAGCCTTTGTTCTTAGAGGGGTGGGGGCGGGGGAATTTCAAGGGGCCGAACCTGTTTGAACACTGCAAACTCACGCCGGCAATTCTATTGCGGAATCGCGCGTTGTTGGCCTTTGTCGTGTTAGATGTGGGACTTCGCCAAATTACCGGTGGCGATTGTCCATTGCCTTCTCCTGGGGTATTGTTTGTTTAGACTTGTATGTTTTTCCTCCTTTTTTTTTTTTTGGAAGCTGGCTCCTAGAGTTACTTCGCCGGGTAATTTTCGTAGGCCTGGGGTTGCCGAGTTCTTTGTTCCGTAGCGCTCTTTCCTTATGATAGTTTTAACAGTCTCAAAGCTTCAGGCCGATTAAAGCTTTGTTTTTTGGCACGGGCCGTGCAATTTTACTACATTGCGCACAGGCGTTTCAGCCAACACCACAGCTTTTAGTTAGCTGAGCGGTCGCGATTTTTCGTAGTAGCGCAGTTTTTTGTTCTCAAACCCTTCGCTGGTTTTTGGGGGCAGCTAAAGTGGCACAAGGCGTGTGCTTATTCTTTTTTTGAAGCTCAGCTTATACTCATTCTAAAAATCCACTTCCCGTAAACCACTTACCATTCACCGTGGGGGCGCTGTTTTCGCAGAACTTTGCGCACACCTAATGCGGAGCGACCCGGACTGCTCTGCGCGCTTCTCCGGCTCGGCAATTTTCTTGTTGAGGTCGGTTTTCGGACTACAACTAACAAACTAAATGGTGCTTTCGCAAATGAGTTTTTTTTCAGTAAAAAGAATCTCTTATTTGTCTTTTTTAAATATAATGTCGTTAGGTTATGGTGTGGGCGTCCTGTGTTCACCTTGATCTGATGGTGGTTGGGTTTTTGCTGCGACCTCTTGTCGTCATCCTCTGCGCACGTTTTTCGTAACATCGAACCTACGGTGGTCATGGGCAAAAAAGTGTTTTGCACCGTCTTACAGCATTATACCGGCGTTTGTAGGATACAGTTTTGAGGAAGTCCACCAGAATTACACCCAATGTGAAATATACCTTGGTTTCGGGGGCAAAGGATACTCCTGATTTTGCCCCTTCCACGACATGCTCTTAGCGCAATGTCCTTTAACCGTCTCCAAAAGTGAATATTTGCTTCTCTATTCTTAGCGAAAAAAAAATAATAACATTGTACTGGTAGAAAATAAAAAGCCTTCCTTTTTGACTTGCATACTCTAAAATGAAAACCGCCATCTGCTTTATGGGATAGCACGGATGTTCTATTACTTTAAAATTTTGGGATCTCATAGCTGTATTGAACCGGTATTTTCATTCTAGGATCGACCAATTTACACCCATATCACATACCTTTTCAATTGTAGTGACAGTTTAAAAGGCGGTTAAACGGCCAAAAGCTTATTAGTCGGTATCATCAGCTCACTGGCAAAACGCAACTACAGCCTTTTAGATGACATTTTGTATAGAAATCGACTATGCAGGCATTTTTTACCTTTCTAAAGTTAACGCCAAGTTTGCAGATCTATTTTTTAACTTTCTAGATTCCTTGGTATTGTGGAAATGCCTCATCGTGGCGCCAAGGTCTAGTACTAAATTCATTACTTAGGAAGCTAAATTTCCACAATTGCAGCACCGAATCCGGCTTAGTTCGGGCTGCACCGTGATACGGTCGCTACTTATTCGGATAGCGGAGTTAAGTACCTTACAAATAAGGCGCGTTTTGTAACGGGTAAAGTACCTGAACGGAGAGACTGCAGGGAAAATACACGCTGCCAATCAATAAGTTTCACGGTCGAGTACCCGGTTTCTCAGACTGGGGAATCCAATGCTATACGCTATAGTTTTTCCTGGAGCCGCGCCATGGTCCGGATACAACGCGACCTGCTCTCCAGGGATCAAGCGGAGGGCCTAACCGGAGACCGCTCCCTGGGACGCCGTGCTACTGGTGTCGCCCACGCCCGTGGGTTGAAAGATCTCTATGATCAGGAGGTTTTTAGTGGGTATGGGTGGGTTTCTCCACCACCGAGTCCCACATATAATCTGCTGTGGCACGGCAGATGTGCGCAAATGCATTTCCTCCTTCCTCCTTCGGGCAGCGGCACCTGGTCGTTAAATTGCACGTGGAACAACAACAACAACTTTCTAGATTAGAAAGAGGTTAAAGAAAAACGGTGTATACCTAGGAAATTGCATGTAATACATTTATCTTTCCAGCACCTGTAAAAACAATAGTCAAGTTCTTACGCTTATTAAATCCATATCGGTTTCCTTGCCTTTGCCGTTGCAAGGCTTCTCACAAAAATGTGGGTTTAGAACGTTGGTCCAACCCATCCCACCATGTATGCTATCTGACTAAAAAAAATAAAGATACCTTTAGAATTTTTTTTCGTTAGTATTCTGATTAAATTCATGGATGGGACTGTCTTTTATAGAATTGATTTAAAAAGATTGCCTAGCGAGCACAATGTAGACAGCAATTATAACACTTTAAATGTTTTATTTTTTTATGCGAAGTAAAACGTGTAATATTTGTTAGCATATTAAAAACACTTAGTAAGGGTACGGAAACCCCCTGCCACATCCGCGTTTCTTTATTGTTTTGTTGGCTGAATTTTTCTTCTTACTCGTGCAATTTTACGACCTGCTGTCGCTTCCCGAAGGAGGAAGGAGGAAATGCATTTACGCATATCTGCTTTCTTAGGGAAGATTATGTGGGACTCGGTGGTGGAGAAACCCACCCATACGTGCTAAAACCCCCTGATCATGGGGATCTTTCCACCAACGGCCGTGGGCTACACCAGCTGCGCAGTGTCCCAGAGGAGCGGTCTCCGGTTAGGGCCTCCGCTTGATCCCTCTAGAGCCAGGTCCCGTTCTATCCGGACCATGGCGCGGCTCCAGGAAAAACTATAGCGTATAGCATTGGATTCCCCAGCCCGGGAAACCGGGTACTCGACCGTGAAACTTATTGATTAGAAACGTGTATTTTCTCTGCAGTCTCTCTGTTCAAGCACTTTACACATTACAAAACACGCCTTATTTGCAAGGTGCTTAACTGCGCCACCCAACAAGTAGCAACCGTATCACGGGGCAGCCCGAACAAAGCCGGACCTGGTGCTGCAATTGTGGAAATTTTGGTTTCCCAAGGAATGAACTTGGTGCCAGACCTTGGCGCCACAATGGGGCATTTCCACGATACCAAGAGGTCTCTTTTTTAACTATATTGATCGCAATGCGGTGCCAAAAGCCAACCAGCATGCAGCGCACCGGACGACTTGCCAGGCCACTGCAATGCACGGGGGTTCCCTCTGTTTGGCCGGCGGGCGCTTTTCTAGGGAGATTTTGAAGGAAGTAGAAGATGATTCATCGGGTTGCACCACCCACATCTTTTCGTTGTATTTAGCGAGACCTCTCTTACTAAACAGCCGTCGTGGGGGATACGCCGGCGCGAAGCCAAGGTGGGATTGGTTGTTTGTCCCCGATTATGTTGGGATCGTTGTTTGTGGACGTTGGTTGGCCTGCAACGCCTGGTCGGTGTCTGGGCCCTTTAGGGTGCTAGACGCATAGGTGCTGTTGTGCCTGGTGCGGTGGCAT